CCCAGTCAACAAAACATAGTCCCGAACACATCCCTGGTACAACCCGGTTGGGATGTGGGACGTCCCAGCCAGGACGTCCCACAGTACTACAGAATGCAACATTTTTTAGACCCTGAGCAGAAGATAGGCACCTCCTACCGGTACGTCCTGAGTGGGAGGTGATTGTCACATCCCGGAAGAAACGTCCCCAGGAGGAACTTTCAGGACCTGACCATCATCTTATGGAAAACAATATGTCTAAATTCAAAAGTCAAGTGAGGTTCGATGGGTTTCTTATTTGAAGCAAATTATATTCATCCAGAAGCAGGTTCCGGATAACTCGGTCAAGGTTGACAGAGTTAACAAAAATTATTTGTGGCAGTCATGTGATGTATAACTTGACCACAATTAGACCTCACATTTGGCGAGGGGTCTATAAGAGAGGTATGCGGATGATCCGCGAGAGCTAAATTAGACATCACATAAAATCTGAAATTGTGCATGCAAGTGAACATTGGTAGTGCAATTCGACTTCATGCCCCATGCTTTATACGCAAATAACGTAACTTTTCAAAATACTTATTATTTCGTACATTTTAACGCAAAAATGATAAAACCTACGAGGACCGCGTCGCTAGCGCCACCTGTCGGCAAAATATAGCACGGCACAGGACTGCCACTGGCATTGGCATACCAAAGACCTCCCGCAGCAGACGTATACAGGATGTTCATCGTCCTGCTAGTCTCCCTAACCATGACATCCCGAGCAGGTGACATTCATACTGGCACATCCCTAGCAGAGGCATACGTAACGTCTTTTCCAAAGACATGCTGGCCAGCACCCTGACTGAACGCCCCGAGGAGCAGCCCAACGGGTGCCCCTGAGGAGGTACTCGTATGTTACGTCCTGCCCGATGACATGCTGAGTAGCTCCTCGGCGGGACAACCCAAGGAGCTTTACCGCAGGTATATCTTGAGGAGTAACTTCTCAGTACCTTAACTCAGAAGTACCTCCCAATCAGATCCCGGCCAAGATGTCCATGTGGTCGTGCTGCACAACACATCCTGATTTGCTCCAAGGCATGTACTTTAGGAATGTCCCAGTAGCACGTGTGAGGGATTCGTGTGGGATGATCCCAAACTCCTCCCAAAAGTAAATGGGAGCTGCTTTGTTGAGTGGGTGCTGGAATGAGAGAGAGAAATAGGCGAATAAAGATTTATAGGAAGAAGTATGAAAAATTGGAAACTACGTATTAACAACAAGGGAGATCTCATGCTACATCTACATCGTCAAAACGTGTATGAAAATATTGACGACACTTACGTAAACACTACAGTAAAAATCTCTTAACAAGGTCTTTCTGTTTAAGTTCCTCAAGGAAACCCTTCTTTAACTTTAAAGTAAAAGACTTATTAATTTTCATTAGGCGACTTTTTGAAAATGGTTGTAGATTCAGTCCATCCAAACTTTTAACCCTAGATAATGCTACAGAGGAACCACCAGCAAAATACTCTTTTTCAGAGTCAATGTCAATTTTAGCCTTTAAAACAAAAATTACTTATTTAATTGCTACCATTATCAATGGTCACCTCCCTATAATTAGCACTATTTACAGTTTCAATATTATATTTACCTTTGGAAGAGTTAATCCTTGACATTTATGAAATGTAATAGCAGCAGCCACATGAATGGGGAACTGAGTCCGACTTCATTTAATTTGGTTAGGATTAGTCCAAGATTTTGTTATGGCAGGGCTTGGCACTACTTTCAGATCATCATGTAAAAAAGGTCCATCATAATCTTTAAACGTGATTAGGATAACAGCTGGCATGTTGTCTGGAGACTTCTCACCCTCTCTATACACAATGTCTACAACTGTTCCCATTGCCCCATTAACTAAAGAGTTTTCAGTCCAAGCATTGTACCTCAACATGACTCGAGCTGAAACACCTAATAATACAGTTTTCTCTAATGACTGGGCCTGGTCGGTGGAAGCATTTTCAGCCTCTTTACAATTATTTTTGGCATTAATGATACATATAGGAACTGTTTGATTATTTGATGATTTTAGTTGTGTCAAATAATCCAAATTTTCCTTGTAGACTGTATCCTTTGTTGGGTACAAGTTCAATGCATCATCAAAAAGCTTTCTCTCTTCATAAGTTAGATTGGTATTGGAACGTGTTTTTAAAATATTATAATCAGTTTCTAAAATATCGCCAGTGCTGATTCTGTTCAACACATCTCCAAACATAGAATCAGACTGTCTATTCACATTCTTCAGGATAATACAACCATCAATCATGTCCCATACAATTCTACCCTGAATTTTCAAAGGATTACTAAGTTGGACCAATGAGTACAATGGAGTATCCATGACTGGTGGAAGTTGAAAAATGTCACCTAAAAAAATTGAGTTACCATTATGCAATGCACAGTTCCTCTTAATAAGATACTGCATTACAAAAAAAAAAAATACTTACCAAAAAGAATACATTATACCCGCCAAACAGTTTAAAGTTATTGCCACTTGCTTGCTTCTGCTTCAACCTATGATCAATTTTTCCTAACATTTCTAATCCAATCATACCAAATTCATCAAACAAGATAAACTTAACATCCTTCATAGCATCGCAAAATTTCCCGTAGATGAGGAAATCGATCTAGAGTGTCTCGAGCCGAGATATTGTAAAGACAAAATGCAGACGCCGTTGAGTCTTTTTCGAGACTTTCTGGAGACGGTTTCAGAGACGGCGTCGAGACTTTAACTAGTCAGTGTAGAGATACTTTGGAGACATCGCAAATTTCTCAAGAACGGCTGTTTTCTGTCTCAGGATTGAGACATTATGGAGACAGCGTCGAGCCGTTTCTCTCGAGACGGTTTGGAGACAATCTAGAGACGGGTCGAAGATGAACCCGTCAAAAGGGAGGATACAGGGCTGCTGAGCCATGGCGGGAAGTGACGTCGGTGAGTGAGTTGAGTAAATTCGGCAAAACGTCAGGCGAGTGTGCGCGCCGTTGACCATCCGTTTGAACTCTAGAAGCCGGAATCAGCATCATCAAAAATTGTAGCCCGCCATTTTCAGGCGGGGAACTTGGGGGAGAGTCGCCCGCAGGCTCTCATAGTACTGTCGTTGCCAGGTCCGCTCGCGCAAGACTATCGTGCCCAGATGCCGAAGCGCCAACTATTGGCATGGCAAAGAATTTCTCGAGATATTTTGGGGACATGTTTGAGACATCGTATAGTCTACCACAGACTCTCTCAAGCTATCATGGACGCATTGTAGGGGTACAACTGCTTCGCCAATAGGTGGCGCTTTGGCATCTGGGGACGATCGTCTTGCGCGAGCGGACCTGACAACGACAGTACTATGAGAGCCTGCGGGCGCCTCTTCTTCAAGTTCCCCGCCTGAAAATGGCGGGCTACAATTCTTGATGATGCTCATTCCGGCTTAGAGTTCAAACGGATGGTCAACGGCGCGCACACTCGCCTCACGTTTTGCCGAATTTACTCAACTCACTCACCGACGTCACTTCCCGCCATGGCTCAGCCTTGTATCCTCCCTTTTGACGAGTTCTTCTTCGACCCGTCTCTCGATTGTCTCCAAACCGTCTCGAGAGAAACGGCTCGATGCTGTCTCAGTAGTAAGCAGGGTACCTTATTGTAACCTTATTGTCACTGGTACCTTATTGTCACGGGCATGGGTGGGGGGTCCCCTCGAGGCGGGGGGGTGGGTGGAGTGAGGGGGTATACATTATTCCGTTCGGGGATGTCGGATGCACCCGTGCGAGAGCCTGACCCACGCCCCCCGAGGGGCTCAACCTCGGAGGGGCGTAAGTGCAGGTCCTCTGGTGCCTTTAAGTTGCGGGGTGGGTGTTCTCCTCCGGGTGTAGGTCGGGAATCCTCATGGTTGCGGGGAGGGGGGTGGGGTGTCTCCTCGGGGTGCAGGAATGGGTTGCGTCAAATCCTCTTGGTGCCTTATTGTCACGGGATGGATCCTCCGCGCCCAAATTCAAATGATCGCTCTGGTGGCGGGTTGTGGAACTACAATAGGGAATGCCAAAGTGTTGTGCGCATGCTCGGGCCAGATGATGGACCACCGGCCAGGTTCCCGCCAAAGCCTCCAACCCAAAACGCCATACATTGACAACACAGTTTATACAGAGGTTGGAAGTCAGAGACAGGTTTGAACACGTTTAAAACACATGACCAACTCTAATTTCTCTTCAACACATCACAAAGACTTCGAAAAACGTCTCCGACGGTGCCACACCGCTCGGCCAATGAGCGCCTGTCGTTTGAATGGCGGCGCCGACCCCGGGCCTCGTTAAAGTGTTTTAATGCGTCAAATAAAGTGGTGCGAGTTGAAACAAGGAAGAATAATGATTTACACGCCTTCCGCCGTATCGCGCGACGTCACCAAAGGGTTAAAACGCGAAATAAACGTGAATATTGCCACCTGTCAGTGCCGTCGCCGATTTGAAATTGTGCTGCGCTCTGATTGGTCGAGGCGGGGGCGGGGCGGTTGAGAAGGTCCGGGCCAAGCGACAGATCGTCAGACGTACGACAGACGTGATAGGGAGAGTGACGTAGTGAATTCTGTGACCCTGTGAAATCAAAAGTGCAACATGAGTTCTTCATCAGAAGAATACCTTTAACTAGATATAAGCGACTCATCCGAGGAGGAGCAAGTGGTGACTACAAATGTAATATTCTGAGTGAAATCGCGTGAGACCAGAGAAGTGATCAGCCCCTAACATGTTGCTACCGCGAGTGTCCCTCCGCCATTCATTCTTGAATCGTTGATTCACAATTGCGCTTTTCAAAGCTGTGATTGAGTTCGCCGCGCCTTTCGAAATAACCGCGAGAGTTTGCCCCCCCCCCCCCTTTCCTAACCTCGCCGCATGTGGATCTCTATCGATTTTTCTATCTTTTCAGCGTGTGAATCTTCACTTCATGGGGGAGCGCCCCCCGGGCCCCAACGCCCTGCCCGACCCTCCCGCCGATTGGGCTGCAGGCCCCTCAGGACGACCTACTGAGGCTGAAGAAGAATTGGCTCAAGAGGCCGGGCGCGCCTTCGCGTCGAGGGTGCCCGTAGTGCCCCCCACGCCCCGCATCGTAAGTATCCTCGTTCTTAGCTCAGTGCCGTTACAAGTTGGATGTCGCCTTAACCTCTGTTTGTCTGTTCAGCCCGTTCACGAGCGTCTGGGGGAGCGGGAGGAGCCGGACGGCGCCGAGGAGGACGGCTCTCAGCAAGCGGCACGCGGGCGCGGCCGTGGCCGAGGATCCTGGCGCGGGCGCCGGTATATCGGCCGCCCCTTCTCAGCGCGGAGTAAGTCTCTCACCATCTCCTCCAGCATGATGTACTTGGCACTGTCTAACTCTTTTCCTTACAGCCTGTTCACAGGCGCCTGGGTGAGCGGGGGGACCCACAATGGTACGGGGCCGTGCTGCGCCAGGCCGCCACTACCCGCCCCGGCCGCGCCGCCGCTGACCCCGCCCTCATCCAAAACCCCGCCATCACCCCCGAGGCCTTGAGGGAGGCGGTGCGCCGCGCGGAGGCGGCCGGACGCCGCGCCGCGAAGAAAGAGGCAAGGGCGGCCATGGAGGCCGTGCGTGAGGCTGTGGAGGCCCCGGTGAGTATCAACTCGTCCTCGTGCCTTTCCAACTCTTGATGTGACGACTAACTTGGTCTTTATGTTGTAGGTCGTCGTAGTGAGGCCTGAGGCCAGGCCCCGCGGCCCCACCCCTGCGCACCGCCGCCGCCCTGTTCCCGCGCACCGCGGGGCAGCTGCCCCCGACGACGCCGCACCGGCCGCCGAAGCCGCTGCACAGGTTGCTGCCGCCGAGGACCCTACAGTCCGCCGCCGCAACCGCCCTGCTGTAAGTGTGCCAGACCACCTACTTGCACTGATGGTTCCTCTGGGCTGCCGAGGGCAGGCGAGGCGGGGCCGGGCACCAACGGGCCTTGGTGGTGCGAGATGGAATGCCACGCGGGCTGGTACTCGCTACTCGGGGGTAGCGCGGGCTCCTGGCGCATCACGCTAAGTCGAGCTGCACTATGCATTGCACTGATCGTTGCACTTGTTTTGGTCCTTGGCCGGCTCTGACCGTGTCTAACACTCTTTTTGTTTGTTTTTTTTTTTTTTGTTTTAGGTTCCAGCGGTACTTCGTCCAAGGCGTAGGACTGCACAAAAAGGAATACCGCTTCAGAAAGAGGATCCGGACGACATCAATGGGGATTCGGACGTTGATTACGTCACCTTTGGCGATGAAGAGGAAGAGGAAGATGTCATCACAGAGACTTCAACTGGACCTGCTTCATTTGAACAATCTGACAAGAAGTTAAAGATCAAGTTTAAAGGCGAGACCAAGCTCACGGTTAATCTTGCAAAGGAGCCCGGATCATCGAAGAGAGCGGTGAAACATTTCCGATGCAAGTATTGCCTTGATTCGGGCAAGGAAAAGTATATCTTCGCCAGGCTTAGGGACCATCTTGAAGCCCTTCATCATGAGGAAACTGAAGTAGCTTCGTTAATGGCGTGCACGCCGAAAAGGGCAAGGAAAAGAGCAATCAAGATTCGCAATGCGGGGCAGCGCATTGTCTTAATAAAACTGTCTAAAAAAGGAGAGGGGGCACTTAATTAAGCTACCTCTGTTAAGGAATTGAAAGATAATTAACTTGTTCTTCCTGGTTTATTGATCAGCAATGTTTAATTTTTTATTTATCTTGTGATTTTCATTAAGTTGAGTGATTACGCCCTATATATTCTCCTTTAATTTTGGCTTATAATACGGCACTTCAAATATTGGCATCGTAGAGGGCGATGAACCTGCTTAACTTAAAACTGACCTTCTTTAACTCTAGACTTCATGCTTTTAATGGGGACCATATCAATCTGTTGACAATAACTTATGGAAAGAAGATTCCATATCTTTTCAGTGAGAACTAATATCGTGAAAAAAGTAGCTGCTGCATACTAGGTATATGTACGCCAGACCACGTCTCGCGTAACAGGCTTCGCGATATCTCACGAAACACTGTTACGCTGCGACGCGCCTGGCATACATCTACCTAGGCCTGCGGCGCTGACACCCGAGTCGGAAAAAGGCAGAGTCGTAGATAGGCCTTTGGCTCCAAAAGACACAAATTTTACCCCCAGGATTTTATTTTAACGAGTTGTCCCACCAGGGACTGTCAAATATCTGAGAAACAACATTAAAATGGTTTAGGGTCGTTTTCGTGTGGATATCGCCCTCTGGCGACTAAACGGTTAGAGATAGAGCCAAACGGACAAAATTTTGGCCCTACGGGCTCTACTTCGACGAGTTACGTCTTAGAAAGATGTCAAAAAATTAAAAAATAGAAGTAATATTTTTGGGTTTTCGTTTTTGATTTTTTTGACAGGTCAATTTTCAAGCTAGAGGGCTCAAAATCAATACCGTTCTTGCTTTTTATGCTAAAAAGCTACGCTAAAAATTTCAGGTACCTAGCTCAACCCGTTCTCGAGTTATCGTGTTTACAGACAAACAGACAGACAGACAGACACGAAACTTTTTGATCATCACTGGAGTAACAGGCTTCGCTATCGCTCAGCCAATAAAGAAAACATAAGTTACTTTAAG